CCTTTCTCCAGCTCTGTCCAAGGACACGGGAGTTGCAGGAATAAAATGTGGTTCCTTTCTGGTGAAAATGTTGGTGATTTTGAAACTGAAAGAAGTCCTTGTCAAGCTCCCAGAGAAAACAGCTGGCATTTGCTTTCACATTTTATGTAAAACATTCCTGGAGTAGAACAGCATATTGCTTGGCCTAGGATTGCTTCTGTTTAAATAACCAAAGCTGGTACCTCTTAATTTGGTTATCTGGGGAAACAGTAGCAGAGGAAATTATTCTGCCACTGTAATGACTTTTAGTGTGTCAGTCCACCTTTTAAAGTGTGTTTAATTCTGCTATGTATGAGGTTTTATCTATAGTGAATTTCTTTAAAATTTTCTTTTTAAAGTTAGCACTTGAAATTTGTTTGTAAACACATGGAAGAGTCGGCTGGAGCCTCAGCTCAGTAACTTGTCAGTTGTGCCCCTTCTGTCTTTTTAGTAGCGTGGAAAGTTTTGTTTGTGTTGTGTATATTGTTGACATCTGATAATTTGTGCAATTTTACTTTTAACTTAAAAGATGGGAACCAACAAATGTGCCAGCCAGGCAGGTATGACAGCTTATGGGACTAGGAGGCACCTTTATGACCCCAAAATGCAAACTGACAAACCTTTTGACCAGACCACAATTAGTCTGCAGATGGGCACCAATAAAGGAGCCAGCCAGGTAAGCAATACCTTTTTCTACTTGTACAAGAGTACACTTACCTTATTCTTATTAACTAGAAGTTTAAAGTAGGTATTTTTTGTATAGTTTATTTAAGAGTATATTCCTTCAGGAATGTGGACTTTGCTGGGAAAGCAAAAGAATCAAAAGACCTTTTCGATAGCAGCAAAAGCACGATGTGTCTCGTGGTTTTTGTTGGCAGTTAGAACAGCTGGCCGCCTTTCTACCTAGCCAGCAGAAAAAAAGATATGTTTATTCCAGTGTTCTTGCTCCAAAATCCAAGTAAAATATTGCTCATTTAAATGCTGACTTTTTTTTTTTTTTAAAGAACCCTTAATTAATAGGTAAAATTATCTGGTGTCCCACTAAGAAGGATTTAACTAGCATTCCTATTAGATGTGTCAATATAAGGAGATGGAAATGCAACGTGATGAAAATACCAGTACACCACATCCAAGACAGAAATATTTCCTTCTTAAAAATAGATCACCAGCACCTCAGAAGGAAGTTCCAACAACCATTTGAGAACAGACAGGTCTCACATCCAACATCAGCTGGGATATGGTTTGGAAAACATTTTCTTAGAGAGTCCAAGGGAGATTGATCACTTTGCCCTTATGGAACACATCCTGCCAGGTGTGGCATTATGTCTCTCATAGCTGCCACTCACGTGTACTTTTCTACCCACTCTCAACCTGGAAGTGTGTGCCTGATGTAAGTAGAGATGAAGTATGAGTTACTGTACTCTGAAAAAGAGGGGAGTGGCTGTGAAGTGGCTGGCTCTTCTGCATCTCAGCCTTTTGAAAAGACTCAAGTCCTTAAGATCTGCTCAACATAGTTTTTGTTGAATATATTATAAACTTGTGAAATTGGTAACCCGGATAATGTATGTGGTCCTCATGGGCATTCACATGGAACTTTGTGGTGTGGAAGCATTATGATTTCACGTTCTTTATGTCTCATCCTCACTTAAATCCAGAGTAAGTAGTAATGTCTCCATTTTGCAATTTGAGAAAGCTAAAGCTAAATTTACTTGTTTGAGGCCACATAGTAATTTTACAGCAGAGCAAGGATCTTGAAGAAAGGTCTCACCTAGCTCAAAAGCCAATGAATATTGCTTCCTGGAAGTGATTCGGTATCAGGATATTTTGGTTAAGCTAGCTTTACCCCTGAACCAAATGAAAGTTCACGTACTGCTGTTCATATTCAGTGTGAATTCTATAATCTGTAAATTATTCACAAGAGTAGATTCCAGCTGCCGCTTTAACTTTTATACTATGTTCTAATACCAGGCAGGGATGTTAGCACCAGGTACCAGAAGAGACATCTATGATCAGAAGCTAACATTACAGCCGGTGGACAACTCGACAATTTCCCTACAGATGGGTACCAACAAAGTTGCTTCCCAGAAAGGAATGAGTGTGTATGGGCTTGGGCGGCAAGTATATGATCCCAAATACTGTGCTGCTCCTACAGAACCTGTCATTCACAACGGAAGCCAAGGAACAGGAACAAATGGTTCGGAAATCAGTGATAGTGATTATCAGGCAGAATACCCCGATGAGTATCATGGCGAGTACCAGGATGACTACCCCAGAGATTACCAATATAGCGACCAAGGCATTGATTATTAGATCCACACAGAAGGAGCGCAGTATTTAGTCCATTGTTTTTATTCAGTGAGAACCAAGCTAGCCTTGAGTAATTTTTATCTTGTCTTCCTAAAACACTATTAAGCTTATTGTACTTTTAAGAAAAATTGCCTTACATACATTCCTTTTTCCTTTTTCTGCCTCTTCCCTCAATAGTTGCCTTTTAGTGCTGTAATAGTTAAATCCTACAGCATAATCAGTAACTCGCATATGAAGTAAAAAGGAATACTGTGAAAGGGGAGTACTCTTGTACAGCCAGTTCTTGTATGCAAAGATCTATGCATTTTTACAATCTTATATTAAACTGGTATTTTCAAACAATAGAAACTATTTTTTTTTTTTTTTTTACAGTTTAGTGTATCTGGTTTCTACATGGAAGACTAAACTCATGCTTATTGCTAAATGTGGTCTTTGCCAACTAAATTTAAGATGCAGCATTTTAGAAATTTACATATCAATGTTTCTACAGTATTGTTTGCTAATTTTTAAATAAAGTCATGATCAGTGTGCATTTGTGATTATATGTGTACTCATTCTCTTACCTAGCGGACAAGATCTTTTCAGAGTGGTGTTTCTAAAGGAGCATGTACAAAAGTGGCCTGTGGACATTTAGGCCTGGGTGATGCATTTGCTCTTCCTGTTTGTGCCAATGTATCAATGTAGAGTTGCTCTGTTTTCTTCAACTGTATTTATTGCTGCATTTCTCAGCATAAACTTATCCCATTGTATTTTTTATAAATAAATATTTTGTTTTGAACATTCATATGAACCACAGGCTGATTATTTTCTGGCTAGCTTCTAGATAGGTAGGGTCAGATTTTTTTTAAGTACCTTTTTCCTAGGTACTGTTACAAGGGACATTAACATTTTATTTACTCCACACAACACTGCACTCTATGCTTAAGGGGATTGAGGCTTAGGAAACCATTACACATAGTAAATGACAGGATTCAAATCATTTTCTGACCCTATTTCACTGTGACTTAGCTGGCCCAGATTCATCTTAAATTCAACTTGGAATAATCTTAAAATAATTTTTAGGAATATTGATATGAGCAGTGGGGAATTTTCCTATCTTAGGGTAAATATGAATAAGAAATATGCTAGGTCAGCCACAGGATGTGCTGCTTGATAATAAGCTACGGTTTATGGTGAAACATAAACCTTCAGTCCTGACAGAGGGAAGCACAAACAATAACTAGGTGTCATAGTGACAAAAATGCAGTCACTAAAAGAAACTTAGTAACTCTCACTTTCCGACATTGTCTCAGCCAAGCCATGTCTTCTGATAGGATTGGCTCTATCAGGTTTGGGGGCGAAAACTGTCCATTTTTTGTGAGAGATGAGGAGTATATACACATGGTTTGACGAGCCCACAAAAGTGAAGCCTATTAGCTCATCATGTCACAATGACTAGGTTTAATGCTTCTGGGAAACTGCTTGTAAAGGAAACTATTGGAGTCAAGCTAATTCAATGGTGGCATTTAAGAAAAAAGTCACTGCATTTAAAATAGACCTGAGTTCTCAGGCTGTCCTTGTCATCTTTGACTCTTCAAAGTTTAGGGGACGGAAGCCTTATATCACACTACCTCCCCTGCCATTTAAGTCAGATTGATTCTCATGAGGCTGCCAATCAACATGTTAAAATGTTTCTATTTGGTTAGAGGTTTAAAAAGGAAAAGCTCTTCCCCTCACTCCCGTCTACATAAATCTCTGAGGTCCGGGCAGAAGTATTTTTAAAAATCTGTCTCCAGGTAATTTCTCAGGTGGGGCTGTGGTTGAAAACCACTTCTTCCAGAATGTCTGCCGTAAGAGTGCTTGTGTGTCAGGATTTCTGAGATAAATTGTGTGTGCCATCATGGAATGTGATCTGGTGGAGAGACATAACAAAAAGAAAGTGGATTCACAGTCATATCAGAGCATGGAGGAGAAGGACAGAAGAGAGGGCAAGTAATGCTCAGAGGCATTGCAGAAGCATGATGCTATCAGAGCTGGGTTTTGAAGAATAAGTAGGAGTTTGCCATTAGCAAAGAGGAGGAAGGGTATTCAGAAGAAAGGAAGAGCATGTGCACCGACTAAATCATTGGTTACACTCCTGCCTGTCCTGTACATGCCCAGTTCAGGTGGTAGTTAATGTCAGAGTTTACACTTTGGGCTTTTATTGTCACCAATCTAAGAACTGTACTTTGAAAAGTGAATCCACTCAGCATATTTCCAGGATTGGATGAATAGGGAAGTGTCCTACTCTGTATAAGAGCAACGTTCCACGCTGGACATGGTGGCACGCCTGTAGTCCCAGCTGCTTGGGAGGCTGAGGCAGGAGGATCACTTGAGCCTAAGAGTTGGAGGCTGCAGTGAGCTATGATGGCACCTGTGTGTCGCCACTATACTACAACCTTGGGAACATACTGAGACACTGTCCCTTTAAAAAAAAAAAAATTCCAGAGATTTCCGCTAACAAAATCCTTAAAAAGGTTTATTTATTAGTTATGCACTTACAGACTTGCCTCAGTTCTTATATAGTGTACTTTTTAAACTGATGCATATAAACATGGTTTTAAGAGAGTTTTTCTGTCCTAATTTGTACAAAAAAAAAGGTGGTAAACTAATATGGTTCCAGTATTGTTACCTGGTCAAACAATAATGACACAGACAATGAGAAAGAATAGTTTATTAGGACTTCTTTAAAAAAGAAAAAATTCCACTAACTTTTCTCGAGTGGTCTTGTCTTCTATTCTGTAAATGGTTCTTTAGAAAGAAACGTTTTCCAGGTACAAGTCCCTAAATGGGTATCTATCTCGCAATGGCCTGGAGTTCTGTTCCCTCGTCATTCCTTAATGAGTGCTCGTCCTGCCGTGCCCTTGCATTGTTTAATTTGTTGCTCCTTTTTACAAAACTCTGAAACAAAAGAACAAGTTAGATGAGTATTAATGTGTCTGCACTGTTGATAATGTAGGGGCCAAGGGAAAACTTCTCCTTTGCCCTCTGAAGGTTTGCTGAAGAATTAACTTACAAAAGGCAGATTAACAGGCGAAATGGCATATAAATTAGCAAGCACAGCGGAGAATCACAGAGTGATTGTCTAACTATGAAATGGGGATGGGGAAGTGTGGATGATTTTTAGGGGGGTGGTAAATTACTTTTAGGGGAGTTTAATGAGCTTGAAGGATACTTAATGGCTGGGGACAAAGTCTGTTGGGCCCGCAGAGCAGACAGTGGTTTGTGACAAAAGTCTGTCCAGGTGTGTTGACTGAAGTTAGTTTTTGTTTCTGCTATATAAGTCCAGTTAATGGAAAACTCAGGGAAGGGGCCAGAGGCTGTTTTTTTCTTTGGTGAGTCTGGACTTTAGGCAGATAAGGGAATTTCATTCAGATGACAGCTTCATCCTGCACTTCGGGAGAAGGTCAGAGTCAAAGTGCCATATTCTGGAGTGTCGGTTTCTGAGTCCCAATGATAACCATTTACCAGTTCTTGGCCTTAAATTTCAGATAAATGGATCCTTAAGAAAGTTTCTCCTGTTGAAACAACTATTTTAGGGGGTAAATTTTAAGGTGGATTTTTTTTTTGCGGGGGGGGTTAGGGAGACGGAATCGCCCTCTGTCGCCCAGGCTGGAGTGCAATGGCACCATCTCAACTTACTGCAACCTCCACCTCCCGGGTTCAAGCGATTCTCCTGTCTCAGCCTCCCAAGTGGCTGAGATTACAGGCGCCTGCCACTGCGCCTGGCTAATTTTTGTATTTTTAGTAGAGACAGGGTTTCACCATGTTGGCCAGGCTGGTCTCAAATTCCTGACCTCATGTGATCCACCTGCCTCGGCTTCCCAAAGTGCTGGGATTACAGGAGTGAGCCACCGTGCCGGGACTTCAAGGTGGATTTTTAACTGGAAAAGTAAATCAGGGGATGGGGACCTGGCTAGCTTCATACCACCATCATAAACACTTTCCTTAGAGTACATACAAATAAGTCAATAAACAAGTAAAAAGTAAAAATTGTATTTTGGCTGGGTGTGGTGGCTCACAACTGTAATCCCAGCACTTTGGGAAGTGCTCTTGGGCACTCTTGGGCACTCTTGCCCAGCACTCTTGGGCAACAAGAGCAAAACTGTCTCCATAAAAAAAAAAAGTAAAAATTGTATTTTTATGTTTTATATGGAGAAGGATGAGGATACATTAATTATAAACTGTGGAAGTGGTTCTTAAAAAATTGAGTGGCTGCTGAACTAAAGAGTGCATTCAATGCTCTGTTTCAAGCTAAAAGGGCTTGAACACCTAATTTTAATGGCAACAGAATGAAAGAAAAGTATGAAAATCTATAACTCAGACAAGGAAAAGAGATGAGACATGATTCAGCTGTTAAAATATCCCTGTCTACCCAGGATAAGGCAAATAGGCAACAACTGTGTTGCAAAGGCTGTTGCAAACAGCTGCCTGCTACTTCCAGATACAAACAGTATGGGCACTCCGCTGAGGGTGTGGCTTTTCTCACACTGGTGTGCCTGGGCTAATAAAGGGCCCGAGAATTGCAGATCTGTCAATACTGGCACACATAAGTGTGCTCTCTCTAATAGAGTGGGTATGAACATCATGCTTGGAGATGCAAAAATGCTTTAGAAAAAGATCAACTGTTAAACTTCTAGACCACCCACAAGGCTAGATCATGCCACGAGCACCAAAGGGACCTGAACTACTGTGTTCAGGACATCTTCTGCCCAGGGTAAGAAGTGCTGCTGCTTCTGATCAGCATTCTTGTTCAGCTTCACTTCTCCAGGGAGAAGGTTCTCAGAAAGGGAAGTGGGTTCAGCCTTGGAGAGTTCAGCCCAAATCCCACTTTCAGGCTCTGGGGTAGTAGAAGCCTCAGAGCCCTCTAGAAGACACAGGCTGGGTATGAGCCTCTTTTGTGTGCAGCTTTACAAAACTGAGATTGCGAGCGTGGATATTGCAACTGGAAATGAAATGTTTGCTTACCAGAAATTCTTGGTCCATAAAGTAGGGCTTTTCTGACGATCCATCATTTGTTTCCAGATCAACAGCAAAACACAGGAAAAGTGCATCCAGCACAGTTTCAAACACAGATAAAAAACTATGGGCTACTAAGTAGGCAAAAAAAGCTACCAATAACAGAGGGACTGCCCACACCTGGAATGCCCGATTGTAGTTAAAAGCCATGAGTCCTCCAAAAACAGTGAAACACACCACTAACACCTGTGCAAAAGAAGAGTTTGTTGAAAATCTTTATGAATCAGTTGCTTAGATGTTTTTGTCAGTTACAAGTAATGCTTTAATATACGTTCATGTGTGCAACGTGTGTGTGCACTATTGTAAAGAATGCTTGTCAGAAATTTTGGCAGAATGAAATAGAGGAAAAAATGAAAAGCTGTATCAAAAGGAAACCCAGTTAATGGTGGGTAGGAAGGTTATATGTTATTTTATCTGTGCCTAGCTTTTGTATTCATATAAATGTAATAATATCTCACAAACTTTTTATTCTGTTTTTTCACTTAACACCAAAATAAGCTTATTCACTTTAAAACTTTTTTAGAAAACCCCCCTTTCTTTTGAGACAGAGTCTTGCTCTGTCACCAGGCTGGAGTGCAGTGGCATGATCTCAGTTCACTGCAACCTCTGCCTCCCAGGTTCAAGTGATTCTCCTGCCTCAGCCTCCCGAGTAGCTGGGATTACAGGCACCTGCCACCACGCCCGGCTAATTTTTGTATTTTTAGTAAGGATGGGGTTTTGCTATGTTGGCCAGGCTAATCTCAAACTCCTGACCTCAAGTGATCTTCCCGCCTCAGCCTCCCAAAATACTGGGATTACACATGTGAGCCACCTTGCCCAGTCCAGGTTTCAATACTCTTTCCATATATTCTTATTGAGAAACCCACAAACATTCATTTTCTGAGGTTAGTAGTATGTTCATTTTAGACCTGAAAAAGAATGAATCAGAATGGTAGAACTGATCACAGGTAAGAGAGTAAGAGTAGAATTAAAATTCTGGCTCTACCTATTGTAGAACCCTGGAAAGGTTATTAAACCTTCGTTTTCTCTTCTGCAAAATAGGGATACCTCATGGGATTGAGGATTAAATGAGATAAGGAAGCACAGAGTCCACTACAGAGTAAGTACTCAAGAAATATAGTTCCCTTTCAAACCAATTGTTGTGTGGCTTAATTTTCAGAATCCCAGGCTCCTTTATGTATTTAGTCAAGATATCTCACCTTTCCTAGAAAAATTATGAAGTCTCCAAAGCAGTTAATAGATGTAAAATGACTTGAATTCTTGGACAAGATTTTGAATGCATCTTTTGCTGACGTACAGAAATCTGTCCCATTAATAGCAGTTGTAGTATATGCATTCTGAAACAGAAGAGAATTGTTTAAAAGGTAATTCTTATAATTATATTTTTAAGGCAATATATTAATACAGAGTGTTTGCAAACTAGAGTTACAATAAACCTACTCTCTCTACCCATAAAAAAATACCATTTTCAAATTCCTTTCCAGTCTGATTATACCCATATATATTTTCATATAGTGGCAGAAGATAGGAAAGATAAATAGGTACTTATGGTTAATATGAATATCCCACTACAAACATGTGGAAATGATGGGTAAAGCATAAGGGTTTTGTTTGCTTGTTTGTTTTGAGACAGTCTCACACTGTTGCCCAGGCTAGAGTGCAGTGGTGCCATCTCGGCTCACTGCAACCTCTGCCTCCTGCGCTCAAGCGATTCTTGTGCCTCGGCCTCCTGAGTAGCTGGGATTACAGGCGAAAGCCACCATGCCTGGCAATAAATTATTTTTTAATGCACAACAGAGTTTGAGGGCAGGAAGTTTAGGTCCCAGAAAGCAAGCAGGATCTAATGGTTTGTGAGAGCTGAACCCAAAGGTGCAACAGGCATGCAATTAGGCCCTTGCTAGGGAAGCGAACTCTTTCAACAAATTCAGGATTCATACTCATTTCAACCTCAGTCAGCCATTCCAGGAAGATGGTACAGAAATCCACTACGTGCCTGGGACTGTTAAAATCCTAGGGTTTTGCAAAGGCAAAGCAACATCGCCACCTCCCAGGCCAGGGAATAGTGGAGTCCTACAGGTAACAACCACTGGAGAAGATGAGGAGCTCACAGGAAAATTTTACAGAGGACCCATGGAAATGAACAGCACAACAAACAGAATCTGTACCCTGAGAACAACCTGGAAAAAAAGTATTTAGGGAGCTATGTTTAAGGTACTAAGAAAATAGTGAAAGAAACAGTAACCATAAGGAATAAACAGAACAGTATGAAAAACGAAGAGGCAGAGTAGACAACAAACTGAATAGAAATCCTAGAAATAGGCCAGGCGCCGTGGTTTAGGCCTGTAATCCCAACCCTTTGGGAGGCCAAGGCGGGCGGATCACCTGAGGTCAGGAGTTCAAGACCAGCCTGAGCAACATGGAGAAACCCCATTTCTACTAAAAATACAAAATTAGCCAGGCGTGGTGGTGCATGCCTGTAATCCCAGGTACTCGGGAGGCTGAGGCAGGAGAATTGCTTGAACCCGGGAGGCGGAGTTTGCGGTGAGCCAAGATTGCGCCATTGCACTCCAGCCTGGGCAACAAGAGCGAAACTCTGTCTCAAAATAAAAACAAAGCTAGAAATAAAAAATATACAGTGTAACTGGTATGGTGTCATGATTATATATATTTTTTCTTTGTATAATAAGCATTTCTATGTTACCACATGGCTTTTATAATTTTAATTTTAATGCATATTCTGGGATGCACATATGTGCATGTGTACGTGCATGTGTGTAGCTGGGACATGTTGACTGTTTCAAATGTTTTGCTCTTATAAACAACCATGCGATGAACTCTTGATTTCCTGATTTGGATAATTTCTTAAGCATAAATTCTCAGAAACAAGATTACTATATCAAAGACTACAAATGTGTGTGTGTGTGTGATTTATGTTCACATGAGATGATTTCTCAGGTCATTTTTTCCAAAGTACCTTCCCTTTATGACTACATTTCAAGACCATTTATGCCTCTTGAAATCTTTAAAAATGCTACTTGCATTGCAGATTACAACAAGAATTTAAAACTTTCCTGGGAAAATACACGAGAATACTACCTACTTGGGTTGTTGTCATTCCTTTTGGTTTGGATAAAGGATGAAAGTTTTTTGTTTCATGATATACAAATTAACCCTTTTGTACACCCCTTCAAACACATCACAAGGTAATCAGTGTGGAGTCTACTGCAGTAATCAGCCTGCCATGGTGCGGGGCCTAATAGAGTAAGTGGAAGAGATGAAGACCACTAACAAGTATAGGATTAAGAGAGCGGAATTAACTGACCCAGTTTACCAAACTCCCACTTCAAGGCCAACAAGAGAAGAATGTTTAGTTCTTAAAGACAAAAGGCTGAGCCAGGTGCGGTGGCTCATGCCTGTAATCCCAGCACTTTGGGAGGTTGGGGTTGGGGGCAGATCATGAGGTCAGGAGTTCAAGACCAGCCTGACCAACATGGTAAAACCCTGTCTCTATTAAAAATACAGAAAGAAATAGTTGGGCATGGTGGCACACGCCTATAATCCCAGCCACTGGGAAGGCAGGAGAAACACTTGAATCCAGGAAGCAGAGGTTGCAGTGAGCCGAGATCGCGCCACTGCACTCCAGCCTGGGCGACAGAGCAAGACTCCATGTCAAAAAAAAAAAGACAAAAGGCTGGAAACCATATCCCATAAGGGCACCATGCTTGCCTTAGAGATTTTCAGTCAGACATCAGATGAATTTCCTGCAAAAATGCCTTAATAGTATTCCACAAGGAACTTTTGGTTTTGGACTTACACAGAATGTGCGTGAAATTTGCTTTGAAAATCTCAAACCAGCTCTTGCTGGAAAGCTGCTCCAGTTTGGGGGCCTGAGCCTTGTGCAGGGATGTGGAAACTCATTTACTTATATTATTTAACTAGGCATCTTCAATCATCTTGGGTTTTCAAAGCCCTGATGACCAATCTATTCATTCATCCTCAAAGCACATCTGTAGGAAGGGTGGGTGAAGAATGGCATAATTGTTCCTTTACAGACTGGAAACCAAGATCAAGGGCATTTCCCCCAGGTCCCCTGGTGAATCCATGAGACAGAGACCTTTTTATTTTTATTTTTTTAATTCTAACCTTCTGGACATTACACTATCAATTTTCATTAGGAAAAATTGCTATTTAAAAGCATGGTGGTTACGGTAAGCACAGGCTCTGTAGCCAGACTGTCTCTGTGCTCAAAACCCAGTTCTACCACTGCCTGGCTGTTGGTCTTGGACAAACGATCTAACCTCTCTAAGACCTCAATTTCCTCATCTATAAAATGACTTACAGCACCTACCGCAAAGGGATGTTGGGAGGATTAAAGAACATACTCCCTGTAAAGCACACAGAAAATGTGTAATAAAGAGTGGTTATTATCATCCAGACATCACCAAAGATGATCTCATTTACAACTGGGAACACAGAAGCAACTCTTTAAGCACCTGAGGAGGTGTGGCAGGGGCCTGTGGTTGCTTTATCTGTAGGCTTTAATCCCTCACACCCACAGGGATCCAGGAAAGGGCTTTTCAGACCACATGCCACTCCCCAGCATCATCTTACTTTGTTACGGCAACTCCACCATGTGCCGCTCAGCCTCTGTCTCCGCCTCCTCTCTTCATTCAGGCTGTCTCCAGCCCACCACCCCATCACTTCCCGGCTCTAAACTTTCTAAAGTGCTTCTTGCTTCCCACAGGGAAGCACTGTTTTTGTGGGGACTTCTTTTTCTGCAGATCACTGCCTCGTATTTAATTTAGCACCATCTCTCATAAGCAATAAAAAGAGATTTCGCTCTTTGGCTAAAATGATTAAAAGTTAAAAAGATATTATACTTTCTCATGCATGTGTTGACTCCAAAGAGTTTTGGGGCCTGTAAGCATTTATCTTTTCTTACGTATCAGGCCCACGGAAAGAGGGCATTAAAACCACTCTGATAGAGAAACTATATATGCCTTCCTGCAGGTACCACGCCACTAGCATTTACCAGATTCAACCCTGAGTGCAACAGAGAGATCTAGAATTAACTTCTGAATGAATAGGGGGAGGAGGGAGGAATCACTCAAGACACAGGATAGGGATTAAACATTTCTGCTGCTTCAGCATTAGCTAATTTATACTTATTCTGAACAGAAGCTACTTGTCAGGCAGCTGGAAGATGGATTGCACTAACATTTTCATCGTTAAGTCCTTGTTCTGAGCATTTGTATTTGCCTGGGAAGACAGAACTCAGGATTAACGTGCCAAGGTAATCTGCAGACTCTAACAATATGTGGAAATGATTGGCCCTAATAAGGATTAGGAAACACGTTTTATTGGTTGTGGAAGTTAAGAGATCCTAAAGGCTAACCTTTAAACAAGTAAGCAGGAGGTAGTGGCATTCGGCTTTTGATTTATCCCCAAAATTCAGTGTGCATACTTCTTTAGCGTCACAAAACAGATGGGTGGATATTTCTGTCTTGAAATTGAAGCTATAAACACACAAGATAGATACGAGGAAGCATTGCCAAGTTGGCGGTGGTAGTACCTCAATATTAGATCCCAATTCTCATTCGCTTGCTTGGGATTGAAGACTCCCTCCAGGTACAGGTGGATTAGTTTTCAGACTTTAACGGACTGGTCACCTGGGACTGTCCCAAGTGGCTGAGAAGCACTGGGGGAAGAACACAATGAGGACGGCCCTGTGTGGCTGTGAGGGCTTCAAAACAATGAAATACATAGCACAAGTGCACATGTGAGGGCCACGAAGAGCAGAACCACAAGCTGGAGGGAGAGGGGAAGAGAAGGCTCAGCAGGAGAGATCAGGGAAGGCTTCATGGAAGTGGCATGTGAGCTGGCCCCAAAGTTGCCTGTCTCCAGCAGGGTAGGAGGCAGCAGCAGGAGCCAGCAATGTAAGCCACAGACGTGAGCGTACCAGCAGGCACTGGGGGGCCTGAGCAGAGGAGAAATGGGAAACAGGTCTGGAAGAGTCGGGGGTCAGCCCTCGGTGGGTGGGGCTGACACAGTGTGGAGCAAGGCAGTGAAAGGAAGTTTCAGGAGGACTCATGATTTTCAGCCTGTGCCTCTGGAAGCTCTCCCAGGCTGCCCTGGGGAAGTTCAGGTCAGATCTCCCTCATGACCATCTTCCGCTGAGCCACGAAGCTCTGCACCTTCCAAGGCTCATTCCTATTCAAGCCTAGGAGACTCCCCAAGCACCTTCACAATGCCTGCGGGGCTCTGCTGGAGTTGGGTAGAAATGCTGTGTGGCCATGCAGCCATTGAGCACACCAACCTGCCAGCAGTCATAAGCCAG